CGCTGGAGGGGAGGGCACGAAGGGCGGGCGCCCTGGGGGAGGTGGGCACTCTGGAGGGGCGGGCACTCAGCGGGAGAGCAGGTCCCTCTGGCAAAGTTGCCTGGGGTAAGGGACCAGGCATCCCCCGGGTAGGTTTTTTGCGGGGAGGGAAGGGATCCTCACCTGCAGAGTCCGGGTCCCTGAGCAGTGTAGCGCGCTCTGCTCCCCTCGACGCAGCTCGGCTGCGCTCATGGGACGCACCCTGAGGTCCGACAGGAGGGCAGATAGTCCAGGCTGATGTCTCTGTTGGTCCCTTCTGCCGGGTCCCTCCTAGCCAACCCTATACCCACCTGAGCACCACCTGGATGGGCGTTTCTGGCCCCTCTGATCCCTGCTCCAGGCTCCGCGAGGGGTCCCTGTGGCAGCAACACGAGTTACCAGCCCTAGGCCCAGTGGCTGTCCGCTGGGCGCGGCGTTCAGTGCTCCCCGAGCCTCTCTGAAGCTCTGCTTACCCGTCGGGGGATCCACGTTCCTCCATGTCCTGCTCTGCACACGGAGTTGGCTCCGCCCGAGTCTAGTTCCTTTCCCTCTCCAATACCCTCCCTTCTCCACCACACCAGGACGGTCTACACACATCTTACCTTCCCACCCTCAACCCCCCTCCCTCCCATCCCAAGCAATCATCCATCCGGAAAGGCTCCAGCCTGCCCAGGGCTAGCTAGTTAAAGATTTACTCACCTCCAACAGTGCGGTGGAGACTCTCCCAAGCTGGGGGATCCCTAGCAAGGGGGTTCTGGCGTCTGAGGATCCCTTGCTTTTGGCCAGCCCCATCAGGAGGGACTTGGGGGACCACCCAGACCAGCTTCCTTTGTGCACAGATGGGGATACCAAAGCAGGATGGGAGGGACTCCTGGAAGGCCACAGAGTGAACCTGGGAAGAGCATGGACCAGGCTCTTCCCGGTGGGGGGTGGGGGGGGGCGCACAGGAGCAGTTCTCAGCTCAGGGCCCAGGGAGGGGAGCGGCCTAAGTGGCAGGGCCCAGGTCTCATTCAGCTCTAGGGAAGACCTGACCGGATCCAGGCTCTGAGCTGAGAACAGGTTTCCAAGCATCCACTTAAACATTGGGGCACCTGCCTCTCTAATGCCAAGGCTAATCCAAGGCCAGAGCAATTGTTTAACCCTCTCCTGGTCTGGCTTAGGAGAGCAGCAGGATGTCTGTGAATGTTCTGGGGCAGGGCAATCACTCATTTTGTGCCAGTCTCCATGCTGGGCACCAGGGCAGAGGAATCACGTACAGATCCTGCCCCTTCCCAGCTCACAATGTGGCTGAGGAGACAGGTACTATTTAGTGTGCAAGGCCTTTGGGTGGACTTCAGAGACCTGTAGGAGCCAGGGGGTCAGGGAGGTGAGGGTGTTCCAGGCCGATGAAACATGCTTCAGGAAGGCCAGAGTAGGGTGGGAAGATGTGTGTGGGGCATGGAGAAGTGGTGTGAGGCTTGATCCAGCTCATGGAGAGCATATCAAGGAGTTTAGACTCACTCCTCAGGAAACCAGGAAGCCATTGAAGGGTTACAAACAGGGAACTGACACCATCAGACTTGCATTATTATTATTATTGTCATTCTGGCTGTCTCTGTATATTCTCCGAATATTCCTGCAAACTCCTCTCCCCCCAAACGCAATCACACCCTGTCAATGCAACACACTCTATACCATCACAAGTGACAGTCAACTGTCAAAGCTGCTCTACTGCTGAATGGGCTATGTTGGGAGGCAGTGAGCTCCCCATTCACTGGAGGTGTGCAAGCAAGAGCCAGATGAGGTTTTGGTTATAGGACCTCCTAGCTGGATCTACAGGGAGAGTTCTGTAGAGCAAAGAACCACTGTGCACAGCTTTGCCACTAACTTTCCACAGAGCCTTGGCATTTCTTAACCTGTTTTCTTCCTGTAAGAAGTGATTAATGATTCCTCTCCTATTTTCAAGGTTGTTCAGAGATTTCAATGAGGTGGTATAATTGAAAGTGATTCATAAGTTGTAAATAATTACCTAAAAGCAAAAATTAAAATCTCTAAATGATCTCTAAGATCCCTTTCAACTCTGAAGTTCCTATTTTTTCAATCGTTGAAGTCGACAGGACAAGAATTAGTATCCCTGTTTTTCAGATTCAAAAGACAAGGAAAACAGGGGTAGGCAGAAGAGGCTATCTAAGAAGAAAGCAGCTATAAATGGCAGAACTGAGAGTTTAAACCCAGACCTATAAGCTGTAAGTCCTGATGCTCTCCTATCTCTGTTTTTCAGATTCAAAAGACAAGGAAAACAGGGGTAGGCAGAAGAGGCTATCTAAGAAGAAAGCCTCTATAAATGGCAGAACTGAGAGTTTAAACCCAGACCTATAAGCTGTAAGTCCTGATGCTCTCTGCTATGGCTGCTTGTTTTTTTCAGTTGTAAACCTAGTAAGTGAACAAGTTGTTCTTTTAAATGCCCTTAAAAGTGTTAAGGACTCTCAGTCGTTCATGTCTTAGAGTGCATTGGTTTAATCATATTGCTGTCTCTGCTCAAACTGGACTGAGATGGGCCACACTGAAGAGACTCTGATAGAAGTGCAGAGACAGGGGATACATGCATATTGGGGGTGTGATAAGATGTGGGGGGGGTGAATTTTGCACAAGGCTTCCCATCCTGGATCAAATGTGTACATTACTGGATGTCCAAGAGCAGGAGCAAAGTCCTGGTTCCGTTCTCTAACAGTGAATGTGAACATCTGCTACCCTTAAATGGAGCATTCACACAAATTTTTATTGTTTCCTCTACGTGCCAGGCTTCTAGGCACATGAGGTATATTAGTGAACAAAACAGATAAAAATTCCTATCTTTGTGGAGCTCACCCTCTAGTGAGATGGGAGAAACAGACAATAAATAAACATATAAATAATTTACATAGCATGTTAAAAGCTGAGAAGTGCTTGAAAAAAATCAGAGTGAGGGGGATTAAGAATGTTGGGGATGGGGGACAAGGTTGTAGTTTAAATAGTATAGTCATGAAATACCTCATCAAGAAGGTGACATCTGAGTAAAGACTTCAA